CTCAAAAACTTTTCATATCGTAACGCATATATGTAAACACCTTTCTGGCTTTAAAATAAAGTACAGGACATACTGTTGTTTTCTTAGTTTGTGTAGTTAAAACAGAATACCTGAGCTAGGCCCCCTACAAAGAAAATAAATTTATTTGGTTCACAATCCTACTGGCTAGAGCACAAAACCAGGATGCCTACATCTGCTCAGCTCTTCTGAGGTCCATGTACTTCTTCAACCCAAGATGGGAAAGTGGAAAAGCCAGCTGTCACATATGCAAAGAGAGATATGAGTGGGGCCCATTTTATAACAACCCAGGAAAACCAAGCATTGAGAACTCTCTCCCTCCCACAAAAACAGCATTAATCTAATGACAGATCCACCCCTATCACAAGCACCTTCTATTACACAAACTCCCATCACTATAGCACTGGGTGTCAAGTTTCAGCATATTTTGGTGAGGACACTCAAGCCATTTCAGTTCACTGTATGGTGTTTTGAAAAAAAAAAATGAAGAATACAAATATATAGCCTCTTGGAAATTCCAAAGGATGTTTTCAAGTTTTAATTTTTTCAGACAGACATTTCTCAACATTCTATGCAGACTGTCACAACTATGAAAATTTAGTCTGAAGGACAATTTTTTTAAATTATTTTACTTATTGGGACCAGCAGTTAGTGTAATGGCTATGTTGTTAGACTCCCATGTAGTCGATCATGGTTCAAGTCCCAGACCCGGTGGCTTAAAACTCATGCTGGGCACATGTGCGTGCATGCCCAAGATCCTGAGAGGAGAATGGAGGAGAAGGGATTGCGGTGTGGCTATTCCCCCTGGGGGGTTATTTCTCGCTTTCTGTCTCTATGTCTCTCTCTGTCTTCTGGCGAGTGCAAGCCCCCTATAGTAAAAAACTCAAAAAAAAAAAAAAAGAAAAATTTATTTTATTTATTTACACTTATTCACTGAACATCATTACAGCACATAAGACATGGTTTCCCATCCAGAATACACTGTATAGTGGCTGAATCATACATGTTATCATCAACAATTTTCCATTTAAGGGCAACTTCTTTCACTAAATAGATAGTAAAGAAGTCTTTTTTAAGGAAAGTGGACCCTGGGCTAAGTGTCAAAATGAATTAGTAAGGAAAAGAAAAGGTAAGTTCTTAACTATGTATATAGTGTTAATGTGTGAATTGTTTAACAGTTATAAATCTTCTTTGTTGACTAGAAGAACCATAATTTGAATCTAGAACTTAAGAAATAAGGTGTAATACTATATATTATACACATGCGCACGCATAATATGTATGTATATGTATATGTGTATATACATACACATATGTGTGCGCATGTGTATAATATATAGTATATACATATATACATACACACACACACACATACACACACACACACACACACACATATATATATATATTCTTTCAAGAAAAGCAGTTATAGCTTTAATAAACCAAAGTCAAAAAATATTAAGTGTAATTTTCTTAAGACTTAAAGCCAGGAAACAGGTCAGGATTCTGTTCAAATAGTAGGTACATGAACCTATTGACATTTCAAGAGAAGACATAACTCTTTAAATATGGAAAAAAACACTATAGAAGAAAATCAATAATGTTTCAGTCACAAGTCATAAAATTCTCTTTCACCAGATCAGTCTCATGTAATTAATTTCTCCTCTGTTGTGGTCTGTTATTTCTGTTTAAATTCTGGAAGATAACATTCAACTCTGGACTTGCTCCTACCATTAAATTGGCCATTTTCTTGGTTGTTTTTGAACTCTTATTTCTGTGTGTCTGTATTTAGTTTTCCTGGTATACTGCTCCATTCAGAACTTCCTGGAGAGCTTGCCTAGTGTTGGTAAATTCTTTTATATTTTGTTTATCTGAGAATATTCTTGTCTTTTCTTCCCATATGAAGGATAATCTTGCAGTGTACAGTATTCTTGGTTGAAATTGTTTTTCCCTTAACATTTTGAATATATTTTCCCATTCTTTCCTTGCTCGCATTGTTTCTGATGAGAGGTCTGCTGTTAGCCTGATGTGATATCCTTTGTAAATAATTTGATGCTTCTCTTTTGCCAATATTAGTATCTGTATTTGTCTGTGGTTTTGGTCAATCTAGGTATAATGTGTCTTGTAGATCTTCTGGGGTTGATTTTATTTGGGGTCCTTTGTATTTCTCGGGTCTGGATCTTTGAATACCTCTCTAGATTTGGAAAGTTCTCTTCCAGGATTTCATGGAATAGATTGTCAATGCTCTTATTAGTCTCTTCACCTTCTGGGATACCTATTATCTGGATGTTTGGACGTTTTATGGTATCTAGTATTTCTCATATATTATTCTCATTTTGGGGGCTCTTTTCTTAATCTTTGTGGTGATTTTTTCTAGGTTAGTGATTCTGTCTTCTATATCTGAGATTTGATCTTCTGTGTGATCTAATCTGCTTTTAATACTTTCAAGGGAAGTTTTGATTTTCTGTATTACAGCCTTCATCTCTAGTAGTTCTGTTCGATTCTCTTTTACAGTGTGTATTTCCTCTTTCAGAAAGTGTAAGAACTTTTCACCACCTGGAACTCATTGGCCCTTTTCTCCTGCATCTTCTGGAGTTCATTGTCTCTCTTCTCTTGCACCTCTGTTTGCTTTGTCACTATGAATATTCCAAATTCTTTATCTGATACTTCCATGAATTCCATTGTACTGTCTATGGATAAAGAGGAGTAGTTTTTTTCCCTGGGGGAAGAGGTATTTTCTTGGTTTCTCATATTTCTTATGTCTCTGCAATGATTTCTGGCCATCTTATACGTTTCTTCCTAATTTCTTGAAGTTCAATCTCAGCATTCAGAGATGCGCAGGAGGAGGTGATCTGCAATCTCTCTGCCATTCCATTTTTCTCCCTTTGTGCATCAGATTCAGTGGAAATTGAGGGATATTCTGACCCTAATAGTATTCAGATGTTTGATTATGGTTTACTTAAATCTGTTGAGACACTCAGTGCATGGTGGCTGAGCAGCAAAGTGATGAAGGTAAAAAAAAAATGGAAAAGAAAACAGAAGAGGAAAAAAGACAATAAAACATTTGGTTTTTTTTCCTTTTAAAAACAACAAAAAATGAAAATGGTAATTTTCCACAGCTCAAGTTCAGTAAGTATCTCAGGAGATCTGAGTTTCTCCCTCTCCTAAATGGGAGGGGGGAAAGGCAAGAATTAGCAGCATAAAGGAGGGGCTGAGAGCCAAGAAAATACTTTACTTAAAAAAAAAAAAGTAAAAAAAAAATAAGAAAAATTAATAAGAATTTAAAGAGAGAGAGACAGAGAGAAAGATACAGAAGCCCTACCCCTTTCTAGATTGGGATCTGGAGGGTGAAGTTTCAGCAGAAAAATCTTCAGTAGTCAGTCTTATTCCTGTAATTTTTCACAGCTCAAGTTCAGTAAGCAACTCATAAAATCTAAGTTTCTGCCTGAAGCACAATTGTTTAGTCTTAAAACACTGGTTTTATGACTATGATCCTGACCACATAGAATCAGGACCACCACCAACTTACATGATATAAGTTTGTCTGCTATCTTTACAACAAATCAGAGTAATCTGTAAGATTGATTCGCAGCTCAACATTATGTCTGCTGTAACTTTGATAAGCATTCCACTTGTGTTATTTATTAGCACTTTTTTTTGAAGTTTCAAATCTTGTGACTATTAAAATAAAGTATCATTGGCTGGCAGGTGGTGTGGTGATTAAGGGCACTGGACTCCCACATGGCCCACTGCAGTGTAAGTCCCACACCTAGTGGCTTGTTTTTTCTCTCTCTCACCTCTCTCTCTTGCTCTGTCCCTCTCTGGTCAAATTAAAATAAATAAATGTATAAATAAAGTTAAATAAAATAATTCTTTAAGACAAAATAAAGTACTTTTGTACTTTAAAGAAAGAAAATATATGAAATGAAGAGACAACAAACTAAAATAAGCTGTGGTGGGTCCAGCTAGTGGTTGAGGCAGCTGAATCCCATATGACTGACAGCATGGTTCAAGTCCTGGATCTAGCGACTTGAAAAATACCAGATGCACGTGTGTGCATGTCCAAAATCCTAAAAGGAGAAGTGTAGGAGAGAAATCTTACCATGACCATCCTCATGGGGATGCTTTCTCACTTTCTTTATCTCTTTCTCTTTCTTTTCCTTGTCCCTCTGGTAAGGACATGCACCTCTGGCAAATTAAAAAATAAAATGCTGATAAATATTGATAATAATTATTTTATTTTATGGATTTGTTATGAGAGTTAAAAGAGATTGTACATATAATATGTTTAGCACATTACCTCACACAAAAGTTAGTGCTAAATAGTGACTATTATTGCAATAATCAACAATAAAGGTAAAAATAAACTTGTAGATCTGCTATTTTTAACTATGTCACCATGGGTTAACTATTAAATTCTGTGAGTTTGGTTTCATTATCTGAAAAAATGAGGATAGGTTCTAAATTATAAGGACATTGGAAGGATTAGATAATATAAATAAATAGAAGATCCTCAATAAATGCTGAATCCTTTATGAATTCTTTTGCCTGTTCCTACCCATGGTGTCTTATTATATGTGCCATGTGAAAGCATCCCAAAATGCCCTGTGATTTAATCAGACTGCCCTTCACACTGTCCATCACACATAGATGCCTTATCTTGATGATAATACCTATTTTCCAGTCATCAAACTTTCCCATTCTTAAAAATCCAAGACAGACACATGAAATCTTTGCTGACTATTTCATTTACCACTGACTTCCCTCTTCATTGAGCAAGTACATCTTTTTTCAAGTGCTTGTCATACAATTTAGCCATTAATTATATTCTGTCTTTTTCACTACAGAGATGCCTTGTATTTTATGCCTATACAAACTTGGACATGGAAAATCATTTCCATATTGGTTTATGTGGGAATGAGAAAATCTTCCAAGAGATAAGAGGAAATTAAGTTCACCTCTACTTTTTTTCATTATTGCAGCTACTTTGCCTGAACAAGGAATCGTTCAAATGACTGTGAGAGACTACATGAGGTAGGTGGCAGAATTCATGTTATTTCACTCCAATAGTTTATAGCCACATCTTTGATAAATGATATCGAAAACAGGAAGTTTTCTAATAATGTCATGGATCTTCAGATCAAATAAAAAGTCACTGGTTTAGCCATAGTGTCTAGAATGTTTCCACTAGCCTTGAGAGAAATAGAGATTCCTTAAATGTCGTGAAAGAGTGATCAAGTTAAATAAACAGATGCTTACTTGGGGGGAAATTTAACTTGAACATATGCATAAATGACATTCTACTATAAGCAACTGTTCATAAGGACCTGTTCATGAAACAGTTACAGTCATATTTTCATTTTGCCGATGTTATTAATCAATGTGCTGTTTATTGGGCAATAATACATATAATATCAGTGTTAGGTAGAAAGTCATGAAAGCCTCTTAATTTGCAAAAACACCAAGTTGCAAGGTGTGATCCCCAGAACAGCGGCATCAGCCACACCTGGAAACTTAATAGTAATACAAATTACTGAGTCTAACCCAAGACAAACTGAACCAGAAAATCTGAAAATAGGGCTCAGTAATTTATCTTTCTGGGAGTCTTTCAAATGAATCTAAGGCACACTCAAGTTGAAGATCCCTGCAATAGATTGTGAGTTCTCTGAGGTTAGGGACTCTGTTCCCTAAGCTATTTATTTAGTTAGTTAGGGTTTTTGCCACAGGGTGATTGTGCTTGCCAGAGAGAGACAGAGAAAGAAGGAAAGTGAAAAATCCACCTGCTCTCCAGGGGGATGGCCACACCACAATCCCTTTTCCTCCAGTTTCTTCTCAAGATTTTGGGCATGCACACACATATACCCACATGTTTTTCAAACACTGGGTCCAGGAGTGGAACCATAGAGTTGGCCATGTAGGATCCAGTGCCTTTACCACCATGCAGTCTGGCCCAGCTCTTTGTACTTTTATCATTTTTGTATTTTTAAGATAATCTCAACTTGTTGAAAACCAAATACCCAGTACCATAATTCACCTATTCCTACCAAATTACATCTAAAATACTATTAGTCTTAGTTTTTTCCCTTCAGGGACTGGTTGTTTTTGCCACTCATAGAACCATAGAGGTGTAAGAGATCACAGACATCTCTCAGGCAACTATCTTACTTTGTCAAAGAGGAAAATGAGAGCGAGGTACAATGAACATTTCATGCTTTCTTGGCTTTATAAGGCAGTGACTACATAAGTATTCTGGATCCAAAGTAGCTGCTGATGGCTCTGCTGAATAGTAAAAAATAAGACATGACCTTCAAACCCAGAGTGGAAAAGAAATTATTGCAGTCCACAGACAAACTGTGGTGAGGCATAAGTGAAAGGTTGTCTTCTGCCTATTCTCAAGGCTCCTAAGAAGCTCAACCATCTATTAAAACCAGTTTTTATTATCCATAAACATCCACTTTCTCAGCCTTAATGAAATGAAGCAATTAAACAAAGAAGTGGCAGGGCCCTGCTGTTCTTACTAAGTATGGCTAAGACTGAGACCAGTTGGTCAGCCCAAGAAAGAGAACTTGGTCTCCTTGAGAACATTGATATCTGCAGTGCATTCTTCAATAAATTCTCATTTTATATCAACTGGCTACTATATTTAATGGGGCCAGATGTAATCCATGGTATAATTGAGCTATGAAAAACCCAACACAATTGTATAACAGCTCCATTCTCTTTGGAAGTACTTTCAAATGATTTGAAAGGCAGGCCTCTTAGATAAAATAATGCTTTTTTTTTTTTTTTGGACTGAAGAAGTTTGTCAATATTTTATATGGATGGCCACAGGAGCCCTGGAGATAGCACTTAGAAATTGTCAACCATGCAATGTGAAGTCCTTCACCATTATGAGAATTAACATGGAGTCATGTCACTGCCTGTTTGCTGTTCCTCTTTCATCATATAATTTTAACTTCTTCCCTAAAGTTGGTGCCTAACAAAGCTGTGTTCCTGAAAGGTTCCCCAATGATTTGCCATCTGTCAAAAGTGAGACATTCTGTCACCTTTATAATGAGCATTAGCAGGCACCTAACACTTAAATTCTCACACCTTCTGTAACACAGCGCTCTGGAAAAGAGAAGCAGCTCCTCATCTGCCTTCTTCAAAGGCGTGGCCATTGTGGGATTATTAGAAACTAAGAGGAAGTGCAGATGTTTGCTCTGTAATAAAAGATTCACAATGACCTCCCAGGGGAATGTCTAAACCAACACATTTCATCACTGGTATTCTCCCTAAATGCAGATCTCTGCACCAGTTTTCAGAAACTCCTGCCCTCTCCAGAGGAACCAGTTTCAACTCCTGCCATTCTGTGGCAAGTATACCACAAAGGTATGTGATTCCAGGCACTTCTCCTCTGTGCAACAATAGATTCCATTACATTATAAACAGGCACTTGAGAAATACTTGTTGGATGAATGGATGAGAGCATAAATTAAAATAACTCCAAACTCAAGTTTGCAAGAATAATATGAGAGAGTCAGTGAAATTAGAAACAAGATACATAATCTGTCAATGGTAAAATAGTTTAATAAACTATTTTATGGAATTCTTTCCATTTTATGGAACTCCATTCAGCCATGAAACGAATAGGTAAAGATATACATACTGTCCTAGATAGATCTTCATCTTCAAGTCATATTTTTAAAGAGAAAAAACAAGATACAGGAAGATACATAGACTGTTACTATTTATAAAGCACACAAGAGAAAAGTATAAAGCATGTACGTAACTACTAGAAAAGTGTCTGGAAGGAAACGTACAATTTGCAGCTTGGGGGTCAGAACTGATGAGTATAATGGCTAAGGAGAGCAAGATTCTTATACGTAATAATGGGTCAAGAGAAAAGTTGTGGCCCATTTCTGCATAAAAAATATGTCATGACTTTTCCAATTCCATAATATTGTAATTTTTAACAAATTAGTATATTTTATGTATTTCTTGCACAATATAAATTAAAAAGTTAATAACACTTTCATAGTAATATGAAAATATGTTTAATGACAAATCAATCAATAATTACATTGCTGACCATGAGCTAGAATTCTTTTTTTTCTTTTTGGTATTAAGATATCTATGTGAGCAAGGGACTGGTACTCTTAGTTCTTTAGTTAATTCCAGTGACTAAGATATTCACACTGAGCCATTTAAGTCCCCCAGGAAGGGTTTCTGGCCTATCTTTTTTTCCTCAGTTGAATCTGGAGTTAAAGCACCAAATCATTTTATAAACTTTGGTAATCTATTACATTGCATAGTGAACAGTTAAAATGATTGAAAGAATAGATTTTCAATGTCTTTCTTAAAAAAAAATAAGTGGTGAGAGTGATGGATATATTAATTAGCTTGGCTAAATATTTCTACCATGGATACATAGATCAGAATATCACACTGTAAGCCCCTAACTGTACAGTTATTATTTGCCAACTAAAATTTAATAAATTTTAAAAAATAAACAAAATTGAAAGTGTGAATAAGATGCTGAATGGTGTCTGGTGAGTGGGCCTGCCCAGTGAGTCTATAAGTGACTATCGTTGAATGTACATATAATTAAGTAAATGGATTGTAACTAATCCAATTTAAATGAAGTCACAGAAGTAAAATTATCTAAACTATATTAAATAAGTTCATCAAACAGAAATTTCAGTGAAGGAACTCAGCAAACCTGTTCAAACCTTATTGAAATTTCTGATTCCTATAATCCATGAGGTATATGCATGTGTGTTTTTGGTTTGGGGGCTTTGTTTGTTTGTAGTTTTCTATAGGACATGTGTGCTTACCAGAGAGAGAGAATGAGAAAGTACTCCTCCCCCCACAGGAGATGGCCACACTGTAATCCCTTCTCCTCCATTCTCTCAAGATATTGAACACACATGCATATGCACCTATGTTTTTCAAGCCATGGGATCCAGGATTCAGCAATACAGTTGGGCGTGTGGGCTCCAGTTGCCTTAACCCACCACACCACTGGTATGAGTTAAAACTCAGCCCATGAGTTTTAAAAGGACCACAGTATAGTAAACCAGGAGAAGCTTAGTAATTGGAGAATGAGTTGCTACCCATAAATCCAATTACTATATAGCTGATGTTTACCATTTTTTTTCTTTCTTTTGGAGAGGTTTTTGCTATAGGGCATGTGCATTTGCCAGACAGACAGAGACAGAGAGACAGAAAGTGAGAAATACCCCCTTACCCCACAGAAGGGATGGCCACACCACATTCTCTTCCATTCTCCTCTTGGGATCTTATGCACGCACACACACGTACCTGGCATGAGTTTTAAGCCACTGGGTCTGGGACTGGAACCACAGTTGACTACATGGGAGGAATCCAGCGACATAGCCATTATTACACTAACTGCTGGTTCCATGTTTACCATTTTAAGTGCCAAAGTGGACTAGAACAATTTGGCAAAAACATTTCTTATGTCTTAGTAAAGTATGAAAAAGAAAGAACATATTTTAATCTTACCTAGGGTATTATTTGTAAACATTAGTCCTCGTACTCTGCATTTAGTGATCTCAAAAGACATGTGTAGCTGAGGATACCCCTTTAAAAATATTCTTCTTTGAGTCAACCAGTGGTTAAGGTGGCTGAATCTCACATCACTTACTGCACTGTTTGAGTCCCAGATCTTGCAGCATGGGGAACACACTGGGTGCATTCCAGAGAGGAGAGAGAATTGTGGCATGGCCCTTCCCCCTGATGGAAGGGGCTCTTTGTTGTCTCTCTTGCTGTAAATTGCCAGTTTATGGTTGCCAGTACACTGTATGGCCTCTGTCCCACAATATCCCTTCCTTATCTAATTTAATGTTTACCTATTGTGAGATGGAAAGCCAGATAAATAAGCTCATGGTCTTATATATAGGGAAGCTGTCCCTGAGTTGGGGTGACCAACTGTCCTTTAAGTAGCATATACAAGCTCTACTAAATGCATTGTGTCTACTCTAGTTCTGCTTTCACTCCGTTTGTGAAAGACTGGGTGGTTGAGGTGATCAGGGGGGAAAAATGGCTTTTGATTAAGTAAACTGTTACTGGATAAACATACTCTTATTTTTTACTGCAGCGTTCCTGAATGGCTAGAATTTTGGGAAAAAGATCCAGTGGAGATTCTCTTGGATTTGGGGTTTGGTGCTGATGAGCCAGATATCTGCACACAAATCCCATCCAGATTTCTTGGTTGTAGCTCAGCAGCCAAAGGTATCAACATCCGTGTTTTTCTTGAAGCTCAAAAGCAGCGGATGGATGTTGAGAATCCTAATTTATATGGTAAGTAAGGACCACATGTCATCAGCATCTTCGCAGTGGCAGAGTGGCGGGATGGGCCACAATATTAAAAGGGATGTGCTAGAAGATTCTATCAGTAGCATTCAACCCCTCAACTACAGGGCTTAGTTCAGAAAAGATTCACTTCTTGATCATTCAACACATCCACTCTTATATGATGTGTGTATTTGGAAAAAGGGGGAGGGGATCTGCTCCATGTCATCATCACTTAGGGACCTGGGTCCCCATTTGAAACCTTACTAGTTGCAAGAGGGGGAAATGGAAACCATATTTGGCTCTTAAGTTCATCTGCTGATAACTTACACATATCAGGTTGCTCAGATTTCATTGACCAGAACAAGTCACATGGCCACACTTAACTCTAAGTGGGTGGGAATGTACAATCCTGCCACATGCCTGAAAGGAAAAAACTTCTGATGAGTAGCTTGCCAGACAGACAGAGATAGAGAGACAGAAAGCGAGAAATCCCCCCCTACCCCCCAGAGGGGATGGCCACACCACATTCTCTACTCTTCCATTCTCCTCTTGGGATCTTATGCACGCACACACACGTACCTGGCATGAGTTTTAAGCCACTGGGTCTGGGACTGGAACCACAGTCAACTACATGGGAGGAGTCCAGCGACATAGCCATTACACTAACTGCTGGTTCCATGTTTACCATTTTAAGTGCCAAAGTGGACTAGAACAATTTGGCAAAAACATTTCTTATGTCTTAGTAAAGTATGAAAAAGAAAGAACATATTTTAATCTTACCTAGGGTATTATTTGTAAACATTAGTCCTCGTACTCTGCATTTAGTGATCTCAAAAGACATGTGTAGCTGAGGATACCCCTTTAAAAATATTCTTCTTTGAGTCAACCAGTGGTTAAGGTGGCTGAATCTCACATCACTTACTGCACTGTTTGAGTCCCAGATCTTGCAGCATGGGGAACACACTGGGTGCATTCCAGAGAGGAGAGAGAATTGTGGCATGGCCCTTCCCCCTGATGGAAGGGGCTCTTTGTTGTCTCTCTTGCTGTAAATTGCCAGTTTATGGTTGCCAGTACACTGTATGGCCTCTGTCCCACAATATCCCTTCCTTATCTAATTTAATGTTTACCTATTGTGAGATGGAAAGCCAGATAAATAAGCTCATGGTCTTATATATAGGGAAGCTGTCCCTGAGTTGGGGTGACCAACTGTCCTTTAAGTAGCATATACAAGCTCTACTAAATGCATTGTGTCTACTCTAGTTCTGCTTTCACTCCGTTTGTGAAAGACTGGGTGGTTGAGGTGATCAGGGGGGAAAAATGGCTTTTGATTAAGTAAACTGTTACTGGATAAACATACTCTTATTTTTTACTGCAGCGTTCCTGAATGGCTAGAATTTTGGGAAAAAGATCCAGTGGAGATTCTCTTGGATTTGGGGTTTGGTGCTGATGAGCCAGATATCTGCACACAAATCCCATCCAGATTTCTTGGTTGTAGCTCAGCAGCCAAAGGTATCAACATCCGTGTTTTTCTTGAAGCTCAAAAGCAGCGGATGGATGTTGAGAATCCTAATTTATATGGTAAGTAAGGACCACATGTCATCAGCATCTTCGCAGTGGCAGAGTGGCGGGATGGGCCACAATATTAAAAGGGATGTGCTAGAAGATTCTATCAGTAGCATTCAACCCCTCAACTACAGGGCTTAGTTCAGAAAAGATTCACTTCTTGATCATTCAACACATCCACTCTTATATGATGTGTGTATTTGGAAAAAGGGGGAGGGGATCTGCTCCATGTCATCATCACTTAGGGACCTGGGTCCCCATTTGAAACCTTACTAGTTGCAAGAGGGGGAAATGGAAACCATATTTGGCTCTTAAGTTCATCTGCTGATAACTTACACATATCAGGTTGCTCAGATTTCATTGACCAGAACAAGTCACATGGCCACACTTAACTCTAAGTGGGTGGGAATGTACAATCCTGCCACATGCCTGAAAGGAAAAAACTTCTGATGAGTAGTAGTTA